TCTTTGAGAGATGAAAGATCATGAACCATATTATGTTGAAGGATTCAATAACAAAGGAAGCAAAGTTAAATGATTATGCTAAAAAAAATTAATCATAACTCAAATTATTACCTTGTTGCTCTAGATAAGAGGGAAATTGAAATGCTAGGTTTCTTAGTACCCAATATAGCTTTGTGACCAATCTAATCATAGCATGTTTTTGAAACATTGGTAGTGATCATCTATTTTTCATCTACCTTTAATTGTTGCTGCTCATGTCATTCATCTTCTTTCGATGTTTATGCTTAATTATGTGAACCTATCTTTGAGATTTTTTTTTTAATTTCTAAAAAATCATTTTTATTTATTTTTTCTTTCATGGGTTGGGCTATTTTTTTGAAAATTTTCCATGAAGATAAGTTGGATTATCCAAAAGAAATCATGGAGATGTTCAAAAGAATGTAATGTCATTGAAAAAAATATTTGACTTACTTGATTAAAAGCCATAACGCATAATGCAATGTCGAGATGTAATTTTTTTGGGCTAAGATGAGCAAATGTGTTTGGATCATAAAATTTTTGAAAAATATTTGTCTCTTTTAACAGTGTGATTGACAAAATTTTAGTCTTAGAAAGTGATGTGCACGAATGAATTTCGGGAACTAAAAGAGTTTTTTAAGGAAGTTTGGCTCAAATGGATGGTCTTACCTAGAAAGACTCAATTTATTTCTTTATTACCTCCAATTACGTAATGAAAATTCATGAAGGTGTTTGAGGGTGTAAAACCTAGGATCACTTAATTGTTTATCGAGATAACTTTAGGCATGCTACCTTGACTTTGTCATTTTACTAATTGATCTTATTTTCTAATCTTGGCTCTCCTTTTATGTTCACACTTGTCATCTTTTTTTTTTGGGAATTTCTAACCCTTTATAACCTCAAATCATGAGAGGGATCACTCTAGATAGCATTCTCTTTTATCTTAGTGCTTTCACTTTAGTTTTTCATTCTCTCTGTCTGTCTCTCTCTCTTTCAAATTCGTTCAAGGTTTTTCTCAATAAGGTTTCATTTTATGAAAAATTATCATCATTTCTCATCTTTTTTTTTTACGAAAACGTCTTTGATTATTTATGAATTTTAAAATTTCCCTTAGTGTGAGGGGTGATCTTTGTCTAAGTCATTTTCGAAAGAAATCCTTTAGGCTTAAAGTTTGATAGCAAGGGATAAATTTTTTTTATTTGTGAAAAAGTAAATAAAAAATGACCCTTCTTCATCCGAAATATGATCTTATTGAGGTCGATAAATTTTAGTTTCATTTAAAAAATATGATTGACTTATAGAGAAGAAGGTAGATAAGGTGGGATCATGACCCAAATGTGTAGCACTCATCATCATTTAAGACATCAAATCATTTTTATTTTTTTACATCAATGTATTGCCGTAGGCAAAATTGTCTTAGAAGGATTTATTAAGAATATGAGAGGAATATTTTTTGTTTAAAAAAGAGGGATTAGCATTTGCATGAGACATTTTGAAAATTGATCACTATTGAAAGATTTTAAATGAGCTTGCCATTTTATTCACTTTGATTTAGTCGATATAAAATGATAATAATACTTTCAAATAAACATCTCTTAGTTTCAAATCGATAGTAAAATCATGTTAAGATAATAGGAATTTCTTTTTCAAAGAAACGACCCAATCTATAAAAATCACAACACTTTTGCAAATGAAATCCGAAAATTCGACATAAGGTACGATTTCTTTCACAAAATCAAGACACATTCATGCTTCTCCGACAAACTTTGAGTATTCTTCTCGCATTCATTCTCATACACATTATAATCGAGTTATGTCGACCCTTTTTTAGAGCAATCACTTAGTGTTTTTATTTTTGAGATATGATCATATTGAATGTCCCAAAACTAGAGTGAAAATGAGAATAAAACATAATGAAAGAAAGAAGACAAATGTGATAATTTGAGAAGAAAATTTACACGATCCCTTAAATTAACATCATATGAAAGTATGATAGATAAATGCAATGAGGAAATTAATTGACCTTGAAAACAAAAGGCACTTCTTCATTAGACTATTCATTCAATTCCTTCTTCCGGATGGTCTCATAGCCAAGTTGATTGACATCAAAGACATCCTTAAGTGTGTTGGCATCAAGTACCATCATTTTTAGATTATCAAGCACGAACCCAAGTCCGTATAACTTTGTTCTTAGCATCGATTGTTAACTAGGACACTAAAAATTGCTGCAAATCCTTTTCTAAATGGTTAGTAAAATTTGACCCCAACCCTAAATAAACAAGGAAAATAAAGCTCTTAGACCATTCGACAACACACCTAAAAATAGTCAATCTAAATTCAATAAAGATTAGTTAACGTAGTCTAATTTAAATATGAATTCTTAAAAAAATATGGATTAAAAAAAATATCAACCAAAATAAACTTGAAACATAAATAGGAATTGTTATGCAAATAGGATAAATAAAACAACTAAAAAAAAACATAATTAAAATAACTAAGGTTCCAACTTTCGACCCATGCATGTCCAACTATCCTTAGATTTTCAACCGTATGGTCTTGGACAATCTCTCTCATGTCGGACTATAGTGCATTCTTGAATGGTCCAATAATATTTTGGATGAGTTCAACATTTAAGAAGCCTCAAAACAGATTAATATGATCCATAAAGTGAAGGTCCAAAGTAGTAGATTTCAAAAAGACTTTTAGGTTAGATGATGAAGAACGCTTCTACAAAAAAAAAAAAAAAAAAAGGAACTCGAGAGAAGAAGAGTTTATGATTGAAAAAGAGAATGCAAAGTGAAGGAACTTCTAATAAATGGTACATTTAAATAGATTTAAAAGAGGTGAAGAGATGTGTTTGTAAACAATGGATAAATTATAATAACCCTACACCTTGTAAATTGAAAGTCAATCATTAAGTATAAAAGAAATTTATTTCGCGAGTTAAACACTCACATATAGAAAGAAGAGGTGCAGATTACGCCTAAAATTTAGTCCACGCCTATAAACCCAATAAATTGGATCATGTAAAAAAGGCATGTTAGATAATTGAGGAATTAACATCTTCCGGGTGAGAGGTTTATGAATCATGGATTCTTAAAGTTATGAAAGTTAGATGAGACAAATAGAATAACTTTCCTAACAATCCGGAAAGAAATTTATGCTAGTAAAGAGTGAAAATAACAAGAACTTAGTATTAATAAAGCACGATCCTAGTGGTTACAAGATAACGTGAAGCATTACAAGATAGCATAGATAGTTGAAAGGAATTTTGAACATTACAAGGGATCATGAAAGGACTAAATGGCTATAAATACAAGTTGGAGAAGGAGAAAAAATATTAAAAAAAAAAAACACAACAATCAACTCAACAAGGCACTCTCGAAGCAACATTTGAAAGTTATTAAATAATAACTTGTAGGCTATAATGAATAGGTAGTAAGTAAAGTAGACTGATAAATTCATAAGTTGATAGTTTGGCTATCCGATATCATTTTATAACTACAATTCATTTGTGTCTTTAATCCTTAATAAATGAATTTTTGCACGAGCATCATGTATGGCGGAAGAGTCTAAGCTTGTAAACAACTTTTTTAATTAAACGATTTAGGTTTCCTTTTAAACCGTGCTCAATATTAAGTTTGCAATCTTGTTTTTATTATTTATATTTTTTTAATTTCAAATTTAATAATATAAACTTATGTTTGGATTGAAAAAAAAATAGAAAGTTTTGATTAATAGTTTAAAACGATCATTGTTGTGAATAATCGGCTTTGTAACTCGCATTTTAGTTTGTCTAAGATGACCGCAAACATTATTTGGAGTTTGCAAACTGATTTTAATTAATTTAATTTAGTTCTATATTAGAAAAAGAACCAAAAATATTTTTAGAATAAGTATTAGAGTATATAAAGTAGTAAATTTAATCTATAAAAACTCACGAGTCTAGAAGTTGAACAGTCTTGGAAACGACTATCTTACCAATCAATTATCATTCTTTGATTACAAAGTCCTTAACAATTAGGGAGTAAATTATAAATTATTACCTCTCGTTTCGAGAAACAAATTAATTAGTTTTCATAATTTCAAAAACAAATTATTTAATTATTTTTGTTATTTTTTAATTTCTTTCAATTTTTTGTTTTAAGAAATTAAAAAAATAAAAAGTAAGTAAAAATATGAAAAGATTAATGAAAAAAAAACATTTATAAAATAATCATTTTTAAAATTAGTCATGATCAAGATTGGTTAAAATAATTAATTTTCAAAACAAAAAAGATTAATTAATTTATTTCTCGAAATGAGAGGGATTTATATGTAATTTACTCACCAATTAAGATAGGCATAAAAGATCCCGCAACAGGATCTTTGCCAACAAAGCAGTTACCCAGAACCATCTTCATTGTTTCTTTCAACATTATCGTTGCAACTTCCACACCACCACAATCATCTTAAACCGTGCAATCTCAAAATTCCCTACGTCTCCATCTCCACATATCCAACCCATGTTCTTTAGCAAAAGATGGAGCTTTATGTTACCATTCGTCGAGTGTTTTTGGGCTAATCTTCTTTAAATATGTAAACCCTGACGTAAAGAGGACTACAAATGGACTGATTCCAAATCTTCATTCATAGGTTTGGCAAGCAGAAACAGATACCGCGTAAGCATGAAGTAAACCTCAAAAATCAAATTGATCATAAACACTCCATAACGAAGGGCGCAAAAAAAAAAAAAAAAAAACCTTTACAAAATGTTGATCTATATCCCACATGTGACACGAAGAATGGTGGTTTCAGCAACTTCCGGAGGGAAAGTCCAGAGAAATGGAAACTTTTCCATTTCGTGCGTAGCTCGCATTGATCATTCCCTTCAAAAATTCTTCAACGGGGTGCATACCTTCGAAAAGGAAACTTCTGATAGCCTGAACAGTTCGTGTTTCTTCTATGCATTCAATAGTGTGAAAGCACGCATGGAACTATGATTATCCAACAGCTGCACTATCATCCACCATGACACTGTCCTTTATCTCTTGTATCATCTTTAACACTTGCCACATTGCCGGCCTCTGTTCCGGTGATGTCAAGCTACAAACACTGGCAACTTCGGTGAGCATTCCAAGCTGGTTGGCATCCCCGCTATCATCATCTCTCACTGTTCTGACCCAGTCTAACATATCAGCGGGTGCAAGGTATGGATGCTGTGATGGATGTTTACCAGTCAAAAGTTCCAGTAATAGGACACCAAATGCGTAGACATCAGACTTGGTAGTGGCCTGACGGATAGACTTGCGAGTCTCGGGTGCTTTACATGCAGCAGAATCAGGATCTTCGCTAGAAGAAGTGTCTGCAAGCCTGGCTAGGCAGTAGTCTGTGATGCAGGCCTCGAAATCAGCTCCAAGGAGCACATTGGAGGATTTCAGGTTTCCATGGACAAGATTTGATGTTTGGTGGATGTAGGCAAGACCCTGTGCCACATCTTCTGCTATCTTTAAGCACGATGTCCAATGAAGTGGCTTTGCCCTTATTGATCTTGAACCTACACAAATCATTTAACAAATGAACGAACGTCTCCCATTTCATCACTATTAGAGTCCACCCCGGGGAATGACCATTAAGGTCTTAAAAGACGATTATTATGTGTCTTCCTAACGTGATTTTCTTCTATGATAGATAGAACAAAGACTAAAATTTAAGTTTCAAAACAATGACGGGAATGCAGCAAGTAAAAATGTACAGGTGGCCATCAAGTGATTATAGGCATGTTGAGTTGCTGTGCTACTGCTAATACTACCCATGTCTGAGATTGTTTGATTGCAGCAACAGAGACAAATTTCTATTCACTTTGGCTTTCGGTCTCGCCAACACCATGATTAAAGCCACTAAATAATGGTTCATTTTGAAAACAACAGCGTAACTGTCGGCAGTGGAACATGAACATTAGAGTCCAAATTCTAGAAAAGCTGCAAAGGTTTAGACTTTAGAGGACTAAATGCCATTACTTACGAGCCATCCAATGCTAAATAGCACAAACATCCAGACACTACCAAACGGTGACATATCATGAAAATTGCACTTCATAAGCTTTATTCAATGGTGGGTCCAACTGAATTATTTTTCCTATACCTCATGCTATTTTGAAAAAAAAAAAAATTAGATTAATTACTCATTATTTTATCACCTGTTGTTCTATGATCGTTAATAACGATAGTAAAAGATAAGAACAACGTGTTATTCTGTCATATCAAAAAAAACAAAAAATAAAAACAACTATTTAGAGAGTTTTTGTTACAAATAAATAATCAAATTAAAAATTAAGAATATTTATTTAAACCATTAAGACTCAAAACCCAAACTATTTTCTTACGCATCTAGAGCTTTTTTTCAATCATTCCATCCCCCGTGGGTCCAACTGAATTATTTATTCCTCCTATCTATGTCCATAAATATGAGGCTCATAAATGAAATGAACTCCTGGTTGAACTTTCCTTTTCATATATGAATTGAATTTAACTGAAATTCCAGAATTCTATCTCAACAAATATATTGCAACTGGGTTTGCTTTCTAAGTTATCATCCAAGATTCGGAAAGAAATTCCTGGTGAATGTACCGGTTTGGATAAAGATTGCTTGCTTAAGGTCTGACTTTGACTTGAGATGGATTTAGTATCGGTGCTAAAAGCTAGCCCTGAAATACCTGAACTGTTAAATTAAGAGAAAATAATATGCAGTGGAGATGTGTATATATATAGTCCTAACTCAGACGTAATGAACTCAGAAGCGAAAACGAAAGAAATGCAGATCAGCCAAGGCAAACTTCAAGAAGGAAAGGGAAGGAAAAAAAAGGTAATACCATGAATGAGATTGAAGAGGCTGCCATTGGGTTGATAATCAAAGATAACAAGCCTTTCTCCTTTAGCCTGGAAATAAGCAGCTATTGGGACCAAATTTGGGTGTCTAAGTTCACCCACAACATCCATATGCCTCTCAAACACATCACTACTAGTAACTGCAGTCTTACTAGCATCAAGCCTTTTCACTGTAACAATCAACTGATTATCAAGAACAGCTTTATAAGTAGTTCCAATCGTACCCCTTCCCAGCAACTCAGCAGATGCTCTCATTAACTGCTCTAATGCATAAAAATGTGCTTTCCCTCCACAAAACACTAAACTCCCACTCTTCTCTGCTCTCCTCACTTGTTGAACCAGCCCTTCCTTCGCCTTCGTATTTATAATCTCATGACCCTTCTCTCCAACTTGACTTTGCATTGCAGGATTCGAATGTATCCTCACCGGAGAAGCCGCCGCACAGGTCATCACTTTTTCTTTCTCTTCAACTTGTCTTTCTTTCTTCTGTTTCTTGACCAAAACCAAAACAAGGCACAGCAAAGAGAGTACTAAAACCGAAACCCCAATAGTAAATCCTAAAACAACACTACTTCTATTATGCTTCTGCTTCGAAGGCGGAGTTAGAGATACTACAACCCCACCTTCAGCTTGAGCGCTTTGTCCGAACGGTACCGCTGCGGGCGAGCTAGCATTTGGAGAGGCCGATGAGTCAAAGAATGGAGACCCTGGCTTACATGCCTTATTAACAATCTCTCCACAAAGATGAGGATTTAAGGAGAAAGAGGAAGTGCCAAAACGTGACAATGTAGGGGTCACAGGAATCGAGCCAGTAAGGTCATTACCAGACACATTAAAGAAAACAAGAAGTCCGAGGTCTAACGAAGGAACTGTCCCGTTAAACTGATTAAACTCGAGTTGAAGCGAACTTAATCGGCCTAAAGAAGATAAATTTACCGGAATCGCTCTGGTGAGATTGTTGTATGAAAGATCAAGAATTGTTAATCTATGAAGCGATAAAATGGAAGGAGGGAAAGAACCGGAGAAAGAGTTATGGTTTAGAAAGAGAGATTTTAAGTTAAAAAGTGGGGACAAGTCAGGGATGGGGCCGGAGAGGGAGTTGTTTTGGAGAGAAAGGACACGAAGTTGGTCGAGCCGGGAAAGAGTGGAGGGAGGGAAAGTGCCACGCAGACCGAAACCTTGAAGGACAACACGGACAACACGGCCTTGAGCGCATTTGATGCCTTGCCATTGGCAATAGTCAAAACGTTCGTTGAGTGTGTAGAAGAGTTTATTGTCTAAGTCAGCTTTGGATTTGAAAGAGAGAATGGAAACTGCGTCTGGTGGGAGAAGGTAGGTTGTTTCCTGTAGTTCGGAGGTGGTGAGGGTGGTGAAAGAGATGAGGAGGAGGAGGAGGAGGAGGAGAGGGTTGGTTAGTGGCATTGTGAAGTGGAAAGTGGAGTACGCTGTGTTGGTGTTTGTGTTTTTTTCATTTGAGAATGGTGGTGGTCCGGTTGTGTGTAGTGGGCAGCAGGCTGGATGGCTGGGGTTTTAGTGAGTGCGAATTCAGATGGTCACGTGGAAGTGGGGAATGGATAAATGGGGCAATTTTCTGGAGAGATTTTCTAGCCTAGGTTGTGTTTAGGCGCGTGAACCCATTCTTCAAATTGTTTGAATATAAAAATAAGCTTGGCAAATTTGTAACCAACATATATTGGAGTAACTAGGAAGCTTTTTTAAGCAGGGATGGCCATGGTATCCGAATCCGATGCATAATTGTTCGAATTAATGTGAATGATAGATTTCTTTTTTAATAAAAAAAAGGTTTTGATTTAGGAGATATTTTATAATACATCGGGAGTAACTAGTGGCATGTACAGTAGTTACTCCATAGTGCTATTTTAAGGAGAGAGATAGACATACAAAAAGAGAGAGAGAAATAGGAGAGAGAAAATAAAAAAATTGAGCGGACTTAAAAATATTCTTAGCACTTTTGATAGGTATAGATGTAATTTTAATCTTTTTTATGTGTTTATCTCTCTCCTCAAAGTGTGCTTATGGAGTAACTACTATACATGACACTACTTATACATGACACTAGTTACTCGTAGTGTATTATAAAATTTCTCTTTGATTTAGATATATAGAAAAATTAGTTTTAGATATGATTTGAAAATGATTTTAGAGCAATACTCAATATTCATAACTTTGACAGAGTAGGTATTATCTTCGTCTTGATTTTAATAAATCTTTTAGTTAAAGTAAAAAAAAAAATTATAATGAAAAGCTAAATTCATAATTTTTTAAATTTAAAATAAATTTTAATCAAATTATTATCAACTCTCATTCATTTTTTTTATAGTTAGAAATTTGAATTTAAAAAATTTAGATTTTTAGACTAGAAATAGATTTTGAAACTATGGCTACATGACATAGTATATAGTAAAATAAATGATAAATTTGAAACTATGGCTACATGACATAGTATATAGTAAAATAAATGCTAATTTTGATAGTGCATCTATAATTTCAAGAATATTCACTTTTTTTTTATCCAAAAGGATTGGATTGAGCGAGAATGGGATCTAGTTATATAAAAGGTAGCTTTTAGTTCAAGTCCTTATATACGTAGAAATTTTTTTTAAAGTTGTACCCATCTTTTTGTTAGTGTAGGTACTCAAGATCCAACATGTTTGGATTGTTTGATATATTGTATTATTGCATTTTTAATATTAATAAAGAAGTATTTGCATTAATACTTATTATTTATAATTTATTATAATTAGATAAAAATCCATATAATACATATTGGATTCATGATTAATCAATAAATATGAAACAAACATCGGTGCACATAAATGATATCATTAAATATCCTAAATCATAACATTGTCAAGATTGGATATTGACAATATACGGTAAGATTTGTGAGTATTATGCTCTCACTATAAGATAGCGAGTAGGAGATCATTACCTATTAGAATTGTGACGCCGGAGCAAGCATACAAGTGAATAACATTAGAGAACATATCACTCGGACGTGACTCATCATGAGAATCCATTTAATATTATCTTTGAAAATTTCAAATGAAATTGGTACAAGTAGTTTTTTGGCTTAAAGTCATCATTCAAGTAATCTTTTTACCATTTGGCATTTTTCATGTTGATTTTACTAACCTTTTTAGTTAAAGTGGAAAAAAATAGTTTATACAACCTTAATGATTAAAATGGTAAGCTAAACTCATAAATTTTTTAATTTAAAATAAACTATAATTAAATTATTATCAACTATCTTTCACTTTTTTTCTAGTTAGAAATTTGAATTTAAAAAATTTAGATTTTCTAGACTAGAAATAGATTTTGAAACTATGGCTACATGACATAGTATATAGTAAAATAAATGTTAATTTCTATAGTGTATCCATAAGTTCAAGAATGTTCATCTTTTTTTTTTCACCCAAAAGGGTTGGATTGAGCGAGTAGACTCTAGTTGGGTAAACAAGTAGTTTCGAGTTCGAGTCTTTGTGTACGTAAAAATTTTTTTGCATAGTTGTACTGTCTTGTTATTACTTGTAAATGCTCAAGATCCAACTATTTGGATGGTTTGATATATTGTATTATTGCATTTTCAATATTAATTAAAAAAATTATATTAATTCTTATTATTTAAAATTTATTAGATATGAGACAAACATTCGTACACATAAATACGAGTCTTCATTCGGTTTGGAAATATTTTAGCCGATTTTCGATTAATTGAACTTTCAAAAAAGAAAACCAAAACCAAAACCAAACCAAAATGTTATTCAGTATTTTGGTTAAAAAACTAAAATTTTAGTTTTGATTTTTGATTATTCAATTTTTCCCCTTCTTTTTAGAAAAATCTGGAAAAAAAAATGCCACGTTGAACTATTAATATTTGGTACAAAATCTCATGTTTTGTTGATAATCATAGACTTTTTTCCTAACTAGCTACGAGTCCTATGGTTGGAGATTTGGTATTTGAATATATTTGTAACATCAAGTTTGAAATATAAATGCCTATGTTAAATTTCAATGCATTTACGTGTTATTTCTTTGTAATTGAGATAAAATAAAGATTGAATTTATGTAGATGATCATGTTTAAACATTTATGTAGATGATCATAAGACTTCAATGCTACTGTATAATTACTTAATGAGGGAGGAGGAGGCAATGATCATTCTCTCTTCAAAAAATATATATGTAGTAAAAAAAATAATTTGGCTTTTGGGTTTTTACCGAACTCAAAAATAAAAAACCAAATCGAACCCAAGATCAAAATAATTTTGGTTTGATTTTTATATCTTAAATTTTCTCAAAAAAAAAAAACTGAATCAAAATTGATATTTTGGTTCGGTTTAATTTTTTTATTAAAATCGAATAGTGAACATCTCTACACATAAATGATATCATTAAATGTCTCAAGTCATAGTATTATCACGATTGGATATCGACAATATGCATTAAGACTTATGAGTTATATGCTCTTGCTATAAGATAGCAATAAAAAATTTTACACCTATTGAAATGGTGATGCCAAAACAAGTACAAATGTAAATAATATTAGAGAACAAATCACTAGATATGACTCATCACAAGAACCCATTTAGTATTGTTTATGAAAATCTCAAACGAGATGGGTACAAGTAGTCCTTTGATTAAAACATATTTTATTTTATTATAATTATAAATATATGATTTTGGTCATTTAAAAAAATTAAAACTTCTCTAAATTTTAATTTTTCAAACTTTTGGGCCTTGGACCCAATTAGGCATAATGTTTTTAGGCCTTAGAGGCCTACGAGCTAGCTCTGCCCTATCGGCTATTGCCTAGCACTAGCCTAGGCGGGTCACTGGGGTTTCACTGGCTAGTGCCCAACACCGGCTTGGCACCCTATTGCTTGGCGCATGCCCTCATGCATCTAAAGTGCTATAGGCCTAGCGTGTGCCCTCTAGTGTTTGGCATGAGCACTCGGCCGGGCGTACGCCCTCTCAATGAACTAGTATACTTTGACATTCGTTTTGATAGGCTCGGTAAATGGTCGTTTGTGGACAATTTATTAGATACAACGAGAATCGACGAAAGTAGGTGGATAACCGAGATAGGATATATAATTCCTTATATGCTAAACAATTTATCACATTACACTTTGATGAATGCTTGGTCAAGAATCCGTGACCACAATGGAAGTATACCAATAGTTGGTTTACTTGAGAGCTAAGACATTTAGAGATCGAAAAAAACTTATATGATCATAATCAAATAGACAACAAAATAAGTTCGAGATCACATTGTGATAAATTGACACGAGAACTGAATTATGTGAAAACTATAATCATGAAATGTTATTGCGGATTAAGTAATTCTTTTAGAGAATTAGACAGTCATGATGCCTCGTTAGAGGCCAATTTTAATTTATGTATCGAGAGATAAAAGAAGTATCTTTTACTTCCCGACACATTGTCAACATATCCGGAAGCCTATTGAGTCACGCACATAAATTTAAATATTCACACGAAGAAAGAGATGTGAAGAATTTGGAAAAAGTTTCATAAAATGAAAATCAGTTTCCTAAAATAAAAATCAATTTCCTAAAACAAAAATCAGTTTTCTAATTTGAAAGTCAATTACCTAAATTAGAAATCGGTTTTCTAAAAATAAAATCAATTTCCTATTTTGAAAATCAGTTTATTAATTTATGTTTAATCAAATGTAAGGGTCATTTAAGAAATTATTTTCTAATGTGAGTCTCCCTAAAAATACATGACCTAGCTTATTTGGATGGTCCAAATTAATTATTGAGTTATTAGGCCAATAAGCTTAAGTGAAAACCTATAAAGATATTTTAAGTAGAGGAGTAATTCGGGGTTTGTAAGGATAAGATCAAATAAAACCACATGAGTTATAACTCCTTGACTATAAGGGAAAAGTTGCCGCATATATATAAAAAGAGGGAGAGAGGGACACAAAATAAGAGAACAAGTCGAAAGAAAAAGAAAAAAAAACACAAGAAACAAAATAGAAAGAAAATTGCGTCTCTCTCCCTTAAAGATAAATTGCACAACTTCCTTGAGTGATTTTTGTGAGAAAAATATACATAACAAAAAAAATTAGAGCTAGCACTCTCGGACTTTTGCTCCTTCTTGTGTGGGTGTTTTTACTATATGGATCATCGGGAGAGACCAAATGCTTGAACGATTCAATTCGTGAATTTGATTACGTACTACAAGAGGTAACATCTAATCAATTTTATTTCTATATAGTTAGTTGATTCAATGGTTGATCCCGGGACTTTAGTTAGAGGAGAACAAAATTTTTTGTTTATTCGGTACTCGCATAGGATGCATGATCCTTCACTTGTGCGCCTAGCATAACGGTGAGAAATTAGTTTGCGCCTTTGAGATTGGAATACTTTAGGGATCGAAAAAAAATGTTGGCTTATATATATATATATTATAATTTATTTATCGAATAATGTCAACTATTGAACTTACATAATAACTAATGAAATTTATTTATTTAATGTATAAAATACTCATTTAATGATTGTTATGTTTTTTATAAACGAATTTCGTAAAACAGTCATTTAAGAATAGTATAACTCATTATATAGAGAGAGAGATCCATTTGTTCAGAAAAATTAAATAAGGATGCTTATTAAAATAACAATTGAAAATTATTCAAGTATTTAACATGATAGTTCAAGAATAAATGTGATAGGTAATTAGTTATGAGGAAAAAAAACATATAATAGGTAATTAAAAGGTTTATGGAATTTTAGTTGCATGGAATGGCATAAAGTGTTTCAAAAATTAGATATCTATTTAATATTATAGAAAATCAAGAATATGAGCAGGGCTTTTTGAACTTATAAAATATTTGTAATTGCCACATAATGAGAAATAATGATAATAGTTATATTAATGCCTTAAAGTCAAATTTCCTTTAAAAAAAGCGTATCTTTGTGCTCCACTTAAATTAATCTAATTAATTGCTATCATCATTTTACTTCCACTTTACTATTTGCTCTCTCCAGTAAATAAATCAATAAAAGGAAAGAAAGAAGAAGAAACAAATATTTCAATTCTAATATGTTCATGATTCCAATCCATCTCTTCTTTCTTAATCTGATTTTTTCAATTTTACAGTGGCTTCATATGTGACATCTTTATTAAATGTTTGTGCATATTTGGATTCAAGTGTTCCATATTTTGAAAATTCTCATATGTGACATCATTTTACTTCCACTTTACTATTTGCTCTCTCCTTTTCTATATGATGTACTTTTAAGTTTTATCATCAATTATATTTTTGTTTTGTAGGATACATAATTGTTTTATTGCTTGGTAAGTAAGCTTTTTACTTTAAAATTTTTCTGTTTATGTTCTTTTTCAACTTTTTGATTGTTGTAAATTTTCCAAAAATTATGTTCACATATCAACCTATAAGACCTTTTTTTTCTTTTTTTCTTTTCTTTTTTTAGTTATTTATATAGATCATTAATATTAATTGACATTTAATAAGATATAAGCCAGGTTATCAAAATATATAAAACAAAAAATATATTTGGATCATAAAATGGTGAAATCGTGAAGTTCTAAAATGGATGACTTCTTTCTTTCTCCATATTCATTGAGCCCTAAAAGGTTGATAGGTTGATCACGGTTTTATGTCGCGCGTAGCTCCCATTGTTTGCACTAAAGTCCAACTCGCAAGACTGCAATACAGTATCTGATACCGATATGTAAATTTTCAGACAGTATTCTAACCCAATCAAACGCAAACTGTACACTTTTGACTCTTACGTCTTCAACTAGTCAAACAAACAGTAGCACCCATTTTTAAAGGCTGTGTCATGAGTGGACCTACGGTCCTGTGCTGTTTCTGCTCCAAATTAGTAAGGCATGATTGGTGGCGAGTTAGACGGTTAACATCCGTGAACCCTCAAGCCCGTGACCAACAGAGGGATCATGATAATTGGTGAACGCATCAACTGTGGAATATTGGTTATACTTAACCAGAAAAGAAGCAAAAAGAAAAAGATGTGGGAACTTAATTGGCAGCTACTTTGGACAGGAATATCAACCAATAGGCAAGCTACGATAGCAAATTATTGGTTTGGAAAGCTTTA